AATTCAATCACAAATTATATAATCTAATCCAAAACACACCTTATGAGTTTGCAGTTGGCACTGAAGAACTAACCACTATTAAGGCACTTCAATTGCTTTGGCCACTGCTTCAGACTAAAAATATCATCCGCATCTTAGCTAAACTACTAACAACTTCAGAACTAATTCACGACATCTTCCCCCACGGTTTTTTCCCCGACGACTAACAGGTAAGTATGAATTAAATGAATATTACTAACTAATTAAAATATTAAAAACTCACCATTCTTTATCCATGTTTTCTTTAGATTTTTAGTCTTCATCCGACGATCACCTACAAAAACCACAAAAAACAAATAAAGATCGCAAATTTCATCAAACAGATTTCAACAATTCTATTAATCTCTTACACTTATAAATTTATAAATTTAATAACAATGCAGTAAATTCATTTCTAAAATTTTCCCCACAAGCAGTAAATCTAATTATGATGAAAATTTGTAACTTAAAATTCCCCCATAACTAGCAGTAAATTTCCAAATTCTATGCAGTAAATTAATAAAATGCAAATGCAGTACTAACCTTTTGATATTCTCATTTATTCGCACAGAAATTCTATCCACACTCGCACAGCTCGCCCACGAAGAATTGTTTAAAATAATGAATTTCAGTTTCAAGTTTTCACACTCAACAACTCTAACATATAATAACATGTTTCAAACTTTCCTTTAACCCGGTTGGAAAGGAATCATATACTAAACAAAACTAACCAACGCAGCTTACTAAATACCACAAATCATAGAATAACAGCATGACTAAGAAAAGGAAACCAACGGTACCCAAACCGGATTAACCCAGTTTAAAACTGGATAATTTATTCTTTTGAAGACTATTATAAAGTCTAAGAAAGAAATAATAAAACACAAAAAAGTCGAAAGACAAACCCATACCACGAACAATTTGCTTTTTGGAAAAAGGACATAACCAACAAGACATAAGAAAAACCACAACAAACCCAACATAAAACGTTGTCACATAACAGGACCCCTCACAAAAACCGCATGAAATCATACTCCCACTCCTGGCCTAACCCACCAGGAAGGACGTCCTGAGCATGCTCTATAGCCGGCCTAACCCACCGCGCTACATCCACGCTTTGTGACCACACCTCTATTTTTAATAAGAGCTACTCAAGTGTGAGTAACTCTTCAAAATAACCGAACTAAAACAAAAAGCTTTTGTGAAAACAACTAACTAAAATCATAATTAAAAAATATTAAACTAATAAATGTTTTATAAAATGTAAATTACATTATGCAATACATAGATCAGAATACAACACCAAGGACGAACATCTAAAGACAAAACGACCCCACTACACTCGAGAGAGAATGACCAACCACAATCGATATGCCACTCACAATCACAACTCAAAGGATTTAGAGTACGACTTGACTTCGCAGAAAAGGACTTCATTGAACTAGACCAATGACCACCTCGATGTTCAAGTATACGTACAGATCCGAGTAACCAGGCATCCCCTCCACGCACAATCTCCACGCCATTCCCAAATTAGATCAGACACAAAAGAAGTTCTCCACGCAGAACAGAAAAACCTGACATAGCAAACCATTCTGAAATCAGATTTGAGTTTGTTGCAAAGATTTAGTCGTTGTCACTAGAAGACACAACGTCTTATGTCTCTAACTCCAGCTTCCTGGAACTTCTTTAACAAAGAGGAAACAGAAGAAATATAATGTTCGCCAAACACCAACGTCCATCATCCATCCTTCGAATTGCAGAAGAACTATTCTAAAAAACTCTGTAAAACCCGGATGGGTGGAACCTGATCTAGACTACATTTTATGATTGGATAATTTAGATATTTTACCAATGTAAAGTATTTAATATTAACCAATCATGATCCATCTAACTAACAACCCACTTATTTGTAAGTGCTGAAGTTACTTGTAATTTCAGCACCAGAGAGATTTGAATTTAACTTAGAAATTAGTTGGACTCTCCCGAGCACTTCAGCAGCCGCAATAAACCAGTATACCCTAGATCTATTGAGCCTAGCAGAGACTAGTTAAACAACCTGAGACTAGATAGTATAAGAGTAAGATTAGGATCGGTATTAGACTAAGAAGTTGCACGAATCTATCCGGCCGAAAATAAGATAGCGTGACGAGCAGACGGTGTACCCTATCCGAAATTACTCTATGAGTTAACCAACTCGGTCCTAACTCAGTGGATAAAAATTGTTAAGAAAATTGAGGATCAAACTTTTTCAATCGGTAGAATTAATATAGTAAAACATAGAGTTCCTATCGCCAGAAAGCCAAATCAGGTTTAAATAGATATGGATCTTGTCTCTAGCTCTCAAGAATAAATAATGAAAACTTAACCGAACCTATGATAATAATGTACGATTTTTTCTGCCTTTTGAAATTAAAACTGATTATTTAAAACGTAGAAAATTGTTAAAGGATCATATTGATATTGCCATGTTTGAAAACGGATCAATTAAATTTTGTACATTTCAAACAAAATGAAAATTCACACTCTTTGGAAGCAATTTTGGTTTCTTACTTTGACACAATATATGATTTTTTAAAAAATTTCAGAGCTTGTGTCTTTTGTAGAAAATTGCGTTTATCTTTTTCACAAAAAAAACTCTTTTGGCCAAACTTTCGGTACCATAGCTCAATTAATCAATCCCTGCTTTTTCTAATCTGCTTCATTTCACATTCACATATGAAAACTTTTCATACCCTTTCCACCCTTTTCAATAAATACGAGGCGCGAAAGAACGCAGAAACCGGATCTAACAAAAACATAAGTGCCTAGTTTTGATCAATTCTAAATGAGTTTTGTGTTTTTTTGTCTTTATTATTACCATTATTAGGACTTTGAACGGTTGTTTCTGGGATAAAATGTAAATAAAAAACTATTGTAATGATTAGCTGAGTGAAGCGTGCAAAATAGACATTTTTATATTTGATCTTAGAGAGTCACTCGACAAGCTAAACGTTTTGACATTCCCGAATGTTTTTTTGTTTATATATTTTAAAACTAACTTTTTTTAAATTATTATTTCCTTGGGGAGTTCAGAAACCATTTTTGGTGACTTGAAAACAATGCTAAAGAGTTTCCAAAAAACCTGTTTCCCTTCAAGATTTCCGTTCGTGGCTGGCATTTAAGCCAGACAGGTTAAAATAACATTAACAGTTTGGTAAATGTTTTGGTTAAAAAAAAACAAGAAGATGATTGATGTTACCATAATTCACTGTTACTTATCAATTTTTCAAGTGCAAAAGATTCAATGCGTAACCATTACAGTTTCGTAGCATACATAAATCGTAGCACAAAATTGCGTTCTCCCTCATAGAAAACGTTTCAACAGCCATTATCGATCGTGAAGGGGATCGGCAATGTTGTGAGTGAACTACCATCAGCGACAGTCTTCAAGTTCAGTTCATATACTTAAGAATTAAACTTTTCCAAGTTTTGCTAGTTTTCTCCATATTCGCATTGAGTGACAAAAACATATATTTCTCCATGTCTCTGTTTACCTTTTTCCATCCAATTTAGCGATCGGATACTGCTGATTTTATCGAATTTTATTGCTTCGGTCTTTGTTTTTGATCCAACCTGGTTCAAATCAACATTAGCTGCCGTATAGTCTAGCCTACTGCTGATTAAAAGATGCTCGTTTCTTCACAAAGCAGAGTATTCAGGACGGCAAAAAGGGGACTGGAACTTGATGAAGCTGAAGTGTTCTTCTGTAATTTTCATTTTTCGTGAACATCTGCGCATATCTTAGCTCTCTCATAAACATATTTTCTAATTTTACCAGAATGTTCTTGTGTGCGAAAATGGTTCTATCTGTTTTTCTGTTAGCATTTGAGTTCAGTCCTTATGGTACTCCCATTTTCCTGGTCAAGCACAATTACTATTTATTTTTCATAGGACACACAAGCTAGACGTGGTTTTGGTTAGTCCACTCGAAATAAACTCTTATAAATTTTTTGAAAATGAGTAATCCAACGCACCACTTGCAAAAAACAACGTTTTCTTAAAACAATTTTTCAAAACAGCAGATTTTAAGACAGAATTTTAAACAATTTCTTAAAATAAAGACGCGGAATTTTTCGCTTGTCTGATTTCAAGTTTCAGTCACCAATTTTTTCATTATCAATTTTTTTTTCTTGGCAAAAAGGGAGTTTTCGATTAGCCTAATTATAAAAAAAACGTCGCGAAACGCAAAAAGAACCATGTGCTATAGCTCAAACGCTATTCAGAATTGGATCAGATATTTATTGGAAAAGCAACAAAAACTGCTCGTATTAAAGCAACTCTTTGAATTTTCCGACTGCCCTTTAATGTTTACGAAGTGATGTTTGAATTTTTCTGAAAACTGATGAACTTATCAAAAACAGAAAAATTTTTAATTTTTCTAAACTTTTCTTTTAATGAACCCCATCGCTTATTATTTGAAATTATTGCGCATTAATTATGCCATAAATAAATTTTGATTTTTGAAAATTTGAAACCAAATTAAAATATTATCTTTTTTACCATCAACCAAAAATTAGGAAGGAAAATGACTAACCACATAATGCAGAAGCGTTTTTGATTTCAGTTGTTGCCATTTTAGTGATTACAAACTTCATTGAAATTTATTCAAAAATCTTTGAATCTTCCATAGTAATTTAAATTGTGAGTGACCACTTCAAACCAAGTGTTTGAAGTTTAAAACCGCGCGACGGAATGAAAACTTTTTCACCTTTATCACTAAAAATTAGAGCTATTCTTCACAAATGATCAAATTTTCAGTGCTTCAGCTCAAGTCTGCAATGAGTAGCTTAACTTTTGTTCGAGAAAATTTTTTAAAAAATACCATGTATATTAATGTATGCAAAACGCTGAAGGTTCCGACTGCTTTCTATCGTCGATCACAAAATTTTTGGCTAAAAACTCTTATAAAATATTTTCACAACATGAGAAATTTATGAATATTAATTAATAAATTTTATTTCTATTTATATCCTCCACAAGTAAATTAACAGTTACGTAAATTGTGGCTAAAACATGATTGTGATTGCTGTTTGTTGATTCACAGTTACTGATTGTTGAAATTTTTCAAGTGCAAAACATTCAAGGCGCAACCGTCACGGTTTGAGTAGTCACGAGTGTTTTTTCCACACAAATCGTAGCACAAAATTGCGTTTTCTCCCATCGAACATTCGAAAAAAACGTTTTTAGAGCCGTAAGTGACCATGAAGGGGATCGGCATTGGTGTGATTGAGTTTCCAGCAGCTACAGTGTTCAAGTTCACTTCATATACTTGAGAATTAATTCTATACCAGTTTTCAGCCGGTTCGGTGCTAGTGGCAAAAACGTACCCTTCTCCTGGCGTTTGTTCTCCTCTCCCCATCCAAACTAGCGATTGAATAGTGCTGATTTGATCAAAGCTGATTGTTTTGGTTTTTGCTTTGGATCCAATATGGTTCAAATCAACAACAGCTGCCGCGTTGTGCTTCCTATGGCTGAACAAAAGATAGCTGCTTCCACACAAAGTAGAATACTCAGGAAGACAAAATTTTAGAACTGGAACTTGATGAAGCTGAACAGTTTTTGTGTGGACTTCGTTTTCGTAAACATGAGCACACTTCAGTTCTCTAAGTTGACTTTCTAATATTACCAGGATGTTTTTGTGAGCAACAAGGGTCCAACCGGCTTTTTTGTTAGATTTTGAGGTGTCCACAGTCCTCAATATTTCCCCATTTGCCTGTCCAACCACAACTAGTTGTTTTTCGCTGTACGCACGACCTGAATGTTGTTTTGGTTAGACCACTCAGAAAAGTTTCTTGTAAAGCTTTTTAAATTAGTATTCCAATACACGACTTGCAAAACTAAAAAAAACTCAATCAACCAACTTTTCAAAATAATTTTTGGAAGATGTTTTTAACCAATTTCGAAAATTAAAGGCACGAAACTTTTCGCTCGCCCGACTTCAGATTTGAAAGTTTTTTGTCAACTGCAAATCATTTTTCTTGACAAAATGGGAATTTTGATTAGCCTAATTGGAAAAAAAAGTATGCCTTCACCCTACAAACTTTTCTTCTGATGATACAAAAAAATGACCTCGAAATGACTAGTGAAAAATTCGAAATTTACTCGGAGAATCAGCCCCATCACAAAATTATGTCCTTTTAATAGTCAAAACAACAAATTCGCAATAATCAGAGCCAAGCCTTGAATTATCTGCCTGCCATTTAACGTGCCTGAGGTATCTTTTGGAAAAATGAATTGTGTACCTTTCAGGTTGGAATCTATATATTACCCCATAATAGTAAAACACCGAGTATAATTTGTACGGAATTTGGTGTACGGATTATGATTTGGAAAAGTTTATCGTACTCCCCCTATGATGCTTTGAGTGGGAGGTTGCTGAGTTGATTCTTTAACTAAAATTTCAGCCAATCAGAATCGATTATTGTACACTTAGAGCTAAGCAATTGCATTTCAGATTGAATCGTGGGGCGAATAATTTCATCTTTATCCACATTAGGCAAATCGGTAACTTGATTCTATTTTATTTGTTTTGCTACCAAGCTGGGGTGCTATAACGGTAAAGAGCCAATATTTCAAAGTTTTGCAATTTTAATGGCAAATATTCCCTCACAACAGCATTTCGAAACAGAAAATGATACTTTTTCCTGTATGAACGGGAAAATTAAATCAATTAGCTTTTCTAAAGTCAAACTGGGATACTTTTTAAACCCATTTTTTCCACTACCACACTACGCATCATAAAAAACCTGAAAATTTTGAGCGAATAAGTCTTCCCTATTTTTGCCACATTAGAAACTATCAAATCCCTATAACTTTGCAAAGTTATAGCAGCTAAAAATTATGTTAACTTCTGAGCTCAACGCAACAATATTCGTATTATGGTCAGAATTTGCCAAAATCTTTGGTAAAATAGTTAAAATTTGACTGGGGAAAAACATCCCTGTGCTTTGGTAAAATAGTTAAAATTTGACTGGGGAAAAACATCCCTGTGCACAAATCTTCCACTATTTTCTTCAAAACGTGGAATAATTTTTAAAAAAAGTGATGCAGCTCCGTGCTCTTTTTCTACATGTGTTCTCACTTTAAGTAGACTAACCAAAGACACCTCGTTGTACTACCCTAATAAGGTATAAGTTTCCATTTCCAAACACAGGAGCTCCCAGGAGTGCCATAAGTCCAGTCATTCCTGAAAATTTTAAAAAAGTTAATTATAATTTTTTATGTTATTAGAAGAGAACTAGGAAGAAAGCCAGAAAGATAGCAACCCATCTTAATTTGGTAAGTCGCGTTTTGTAAACGCGTTAACAGGTCGTCTCGTTTGCTGCCAATTTGCAAAAAAAAAACATTAATGTTTTTCTGACAATTAAATCAGAAGAACGTGAAACACAAAATATTTCGTAAAACACGCTTTTGCTTTTTTTGGCTTGCTTAAATACACTTCGATTTTTTCAAACTAATTGTCAAAACTAAAAATCTTGAATCATTTTTTTTACTTTGATTTTCTCAATTTTTTTTTATGATTTATCGAAAAAAAATCGAGAACCAAGCACTTGCTATTTTACCAAAAATGAACTATGAGCACATAACCAAACCAAAAATCTCAAACAATCTAATTAAGAAAGTGCATTTGTGCATTGGAAATACTTCGACGTTCGAAATAAAAAGTTAGTTATAGTCTTTGATTTCAAATTTGTAAAAATCTTGATAGTCTCATTGTCCCTAAAATTTTGCATTTGTTAATAACTATCCGTACCCAACGGAGGCTGTTTTTCTACATAAAATTTTTATGTAGATCATCTAGCCTAGTTTTCTACTGTTTTCCATGCAGATTTTATCTATTTCTTTTCTAGTTTTAAAAAAAAAACAGTTTCTGAAAAGAAATGTCCAGAAATCAGATCACTGCTCAACCGCTACGAGATAAACATGCTTCAAGTATAGACAATAACAGTAGCAACACAATGCAAACTTACACTTGTTATGACAACTCTTTTTTCGCTAAGACTAGATACATTCTTGAAGACCTGTAGCCTAGTGCATAGAGTAAACGTCTAGAAATCAGAAGGTGAGGAATTGAACCCCACCAGGACACTTTTTTCTAGCTAGAAATAGAATTTATTACTAGCTAGCTTTATTTGCACATTATAACAAAAAATTCTGACCAGAAATTTGATTAGATACAGAGTATTTGGGGCCAGAAATAAAAACTTTTCTCAGTACGGGTACCTATGAAATCAAGCAAATATATTTTAATAAACTGTTGTCAATTTTCTCCGTAAAACATTTTTAAACTGATTCTTATTTGCACCCTCTGCCAGTTGAAATAGTCGCAAATACGAAATAAGTAATATTCAATAGACACTTACATTACGAGACCAAACTTTGCATTTTGCGAATTGTAAGCGGATTCCGCTACAAGGACGCTCCGTTTGTTCTTCTTTTGTTCTTTCTTTTTCTTTGATCGTTCCGACAAAGTTTGAACACGTTTAAAGACTTGTTTGTGCGCCTATCCAGTGCACAGTTTGGCCTCGTAATGTACAAACAAAAATAAAACAAAATTTAACAATAAATGTCCAAAACATTGCAACCAATTATGAAAAAAAGATATCAACGAAAAGCTATAGGAAAAATCACCTCAAGAATTTCAGAATCACAATCATGATCGAAACCATACGTAATTGAGAAAATTCAACTATAATTCAAAATATTTTTTTTATTATAGGACCAATACAAGGAATTGATTATACATCCAAAACGAAACTTTTCATGCAACGCGAAAAGAACCTATAAAATATTGCCTGCCTATAAATGAGCCTAAAAATGATTTTGAAAACAGAAAACAACAACCCAATTGTGGCAAATTAAATGTAACAAAATAGTCGACCACAAGTGCATTAACAGATAAGAACCAAAAAATACGAAAGACTTTTAGAAGAGTTTGCTCCACCTGCACAGATCTGTCTTTCAAACAATTTGAAGCGTTACAAACAGCAAAACCAACTGGCTATCTTCGTCAATGTCTAATACTTTTAAAATTTTCATCAAAATTTGACTGAATTCTACTCAAGTTGACGGAATTTTCATGGACAATCAGGAGTTATTCTGGAAAGATATACCCTTTAGTAGTAGTAGTTTAGGCACTCAAGCTCCTAAGGGGGGGGGTTGTGAGCAGGATATGGACTTTAGCTGGAGCAAGGTTTGTGCATGTTTATCATGCGTTCGACCCGTTGCACTAAGGATTAACTACCTTTCATTTCAAGCTGGAGATGCCCATGCAAAGTTTGTAACGCAAACTCGTATTTGCATGAAACTGGTACAAATGCATGTACCCATTTAAGTCGTTTGGTGCAGTTTGGTGAAAGAAACTATTTAACCAACTAATATTTCTTTCTTTCGCAATCGGCTGAAGTTTTTATAGGTTCAATTACACTGTTATGTATGTGCTGATATTTCGCATGACAAGAAACCTAAATACATCCGGGCTAATCAATTTCTTTGCCTACAAACTTCACCAAATACTTAAAAATTATTCATAATTTAAATAACTTGAAATTCTTTTCATATAATTGATGCGCATGTCTGATTTTGAATTTCTGTTTTGATCATGGAAAATTTTTCTTATCGTCTTGTTCTGGTAATTCACTTGGTCGAAAAAATTTTAAGATCGTTCTAGAGGTCTTTCTGAGTGTTTTGGTCGAAGCCGAAAATTCATTTGAATAATTCGACATTTTTTGAAAACCAACGTTCAAAATGAGCTGTAGGAGTTCTAATGTGGAAGATTGCATGGCAACTGAAACCAGAAGTTTTAGAGAAATTTTTCCAAATGAGAACTCGAATAATTCAGATTACTGGTCAGACTATCCAGTGGTTCTGAAACTTAAAAAAAACGATTTCCAATCGGAATCCTTGTGCAATGCAAATTTTGAAATTGGACTAAACCAATTTAAGTGCAAACCAAATTCAATGCAAGCTTTAAATCAGTTCAAGTGCAATTCTTCCAATTTCGCTGTGTTTTAGTCTGATTAATATGCAAAAATGGATCAGCCTAGATTATATCTAAAGTACCAATTCAACTTTTCCCTCCCAAATCTTCTCTGGCCGACTGGAAAAATAAATCACGGTTTTCGCAAAGAAGAAAAATAAGTCTCCCAGCATGCTTGTGAAAAAACTTAAAATGTCTTCGGCTAGAAAATTGTTTTAAAACTAACAAATATTTGAACTCAAATTTCGATATCCATTTTTTTGAATAGGCCTTTCTTAGTAACTTTGACAATTCATCAAAGTGTTCAATACTTGGTAACTGTATAATATATTCAAACTTTATATTAGCAGATCAGCAGAAAAATCACACTAGATAGAAAATTATTTAGCAGGTGATGTAAACTAAATCATTATAATTATAATGGTTTGAAAGAAGGGACACCTGCTAATTATTTTTTCAAAATGTAGGTATAATGCATGCAATTAACAATTTCAGAAGTACCGTCAAGAGCTTAAACAACCACGAGTTTTTTCCTATTTTATTGTCTATTGTTACTTTACTCCGAAGCTACTATAGCTAGAAGTCAAAGAAGAAGCTATCAACAAACAGTCGAGCAATGTGAAAATTACCTGAACCTAAACAATGTTCAAACTGTACAACGATATGGTTTACAACCCTGTTTATATTAGCGTTGAAACCTATACGATAATGGAATTTGAAAAACTGAAAGCCAACTTATAAAAAACTTAAGAGTTTTAGAAACTTTTAATCTTTCAAACTCTTTAAGGTTGGGTTGTTTTCATTATTTGGAAACAAACACTGTCCACCCATATTCTGTGTACAAAAAAACATCATAGCTTAACCATTGTCAGAAAAGCTCATTTGCAGGAACAGTTTGGTTTGCTGAAAAAACATTATTTGCATCAAGAAAACTTGTTGTTTTCAGAAATTGACATCTAGAAACAACAAGTTTTCTTGAAGCAAGTAATTTCTGATAACTTTCATTTTTCTGATCTTTTTTATCCCCTGCTATTGACTTAGGCGGTAGCGTTTTTCTGTTTTTTTTCTTTACGTATTTTGTGCTTTGCAATCAAAACAGTTTTTTTCAATGAGTTTGATAATCGGTTATAATTTATTTAATTACCACAAAAAAGTTGCTTTCTTCAGAAAAACATTGATGAGCTGTCAACCAGAACAGTCAACCAAAACCAGAATGCATGAGTTTCCCATACACAATTGAAACAATTGTCAGTTTAGGAACTTCTTTTTTTTAAACTTTAGAATTTGTCTTGAAACTTTTTTGCTTGATTAGATTTTCAAATTACATTAAAACCGTTGCTTTGTTTGAACATGTGTTGTTAAGTTTATTTCAAATATGTAGTACTTCATATAATGTTTGTATTTTGTCTCTGTTGAATTGTTATTAATGACTTCAGAAGTTTCAAAAGGAAAGCGTCTCGTGCTCAAAATATCAATCGAATATTTTTTGTCTTTTCTGACATTTTGAAATATTTTTTGAAAATTTCTTTCGGTTGTATGTCTGAAGTTAACTGGTCAACAGGAAGTCATGTAAATGACTATGTTTCGACTGCAACGAAGTACATTTGTGTCAATGTTCAAAAATTGACAACGCCCATACTCTAATTGGTACGAAAGATCACCTACTTCTGGCTTACCTTTATTTCTTGATTGAAAATTAAGTAACATGGAACTACAGAAAAATTTTACAAATTTTTGAAACTAATTTTGAAGCTTCGAACTTGTTTCACGTAAAATTGATACATAAAAGTAAATTTCTTTTTCTATTTTATTTCTTACTCATTGAAATTAGACATTTTCGGCAAAAAAACTGATCTAGAGTCAACCAAATTTTTTCTATATGTTTCTTTTTGCTTGAGAAAAAGCTTAGGCGTAAGATCCGATGCGATTTTTTTAATTTGTAATTTAAATATCTTTTTACATGAATATTAGTTCAAAAAATCTTAAAATTGCTTTTATTTTCTAAAGTTTTACAACTATTGGTAAAGAACTGCAGATCAAGTAAAGAGAATTTGAGAACCAAGTAAAAAGTTTTTTTCACATCTCGTATAATATTATCAAAGGTTTTTGCTTTTCAAGTTGAAACCAATTTTGATAAAATTCAACCTAATTTTTTTGTCCAATTTGCAATTAGATTTCAACGCGAATCTAAATAGGATTGTTAACCTTGTCGGTGCTCAACTTGAAATTTATTTGATTCAATGTAATTTTCATTGACTGTTTGCTTATAGCTTCTTCTTTGACCTCTAGCTATAGAAGCTTCGAAGTTAAGTAACAATAGATTATAAATTAAAAAATCTCGTGCTTGTGTAAGCTCTTGACGGTACTTATGAAGTTTTTGTTTGCAGGTGGTATACATACATTTAAATAATAAATAAACAGCAGGTGTAGAAAAGGTTTACTGGTGTTTTACTTTTTCTCTGAAAGTTCCGATCTTTTTCATTTATAAAAGTTTCAGATTTTTTACCTAGCGAAAACGTACTATTCAATTTCTTTCTAAAATAAATCATTTTCTGATTGTCATAATCTTTGCAATTTATCTCAATTCTTGAAAACAGTGATAACTTGCAGTTTCAAAAAATAATTGTGTAAGTTTAACATTCGAAAATGATTTAACACATCCTTAAATAAAGTTTTGATGCTTCGTAGTTATTAAATTTAAACCTGGATGTTCTGTATTTGCTTTTTGTAACATCAAGTACAAAAAAACCTGCATTTCAAAGTTTCAAAAAGCAAATCAGTCATGTCATCTTTTATTTGATTGGCAGTTTAGGATGAATATGAACATTTGTTACAAAAATCTGAAATTAAGAACCACCTGATAAATTGAACAAAAAAAGTTTTCAATTTTATAATTGTTTTTAATTTGTTTTTGGTCATTTAAATCATGAGGTCATTAATTGTTACTTCGTTCTAAGTTTTATTTTGTTTATTTTCAAGCTCTTTTGACCAATGATGAAAAATTGAAGCAAAAAAGATGTTTTGTTTGATTATTTGTGTACACTCAGTTTTCGTTAGAGATCAAGTTAAAATCCAATAATTGTTCACTTGTGTCCCAAGTTTTTCTCCAATACGGAAATTACAACTAAGTTTTTTATCTAAAATTTAGGCTTATTCGGAACTAAACAAATTTTCATTAAGAAGGTGATTTGTTAGTGGTATTGGAAAATCATTAAAACAACATAAAAAAAATCCAGTTTTCATGCGCCCGATCGCTTTTTTATCATTTTTTTTCTAAAGACAATGATTATCAAAAATACCAGCTGAAAACGAATCTAATAAACTTTTTTAAATAATCTTGTACCTATGACATTATTTAAAAGTAGCATAAATTTTTTTTTTAATTTTGATTGCATTTTTGAATTCGAACTGAATGAAAATATTTGTCTATGCGCGCATTGCATCCATTTTAGTACAGAAGTCGGTTTATAGGAATAATTAGTTTTGTTAAAAACTTTAGTTGTTTATTGCGAACTTCAATTGGAACGTTGCAATAGTAAAACTCAGCTTGATACTAAGTAGGTAGACAAATAATTTTTTTTTTCAGGTTTACTTTATCTCGAGTTTAGAAAACTGCGCATTCTTATGATAACAATTAAATTGAAAATGATTATTTAATGAGGTACGGATATAGTTTCTTGGTAATTTATTTATATTAGAATGCTCAACTTTCATGCTGATCAGATTTTTTTTCACATGTTTATTCCTAAAATTAATTTTTGATAAAGTAGCAAAAAAAAATTGCTATTTTCTTTCATGTTGAGCTATTTTTTTCAGAAAAAAGAAAAAGTTGACTTCTAAATTTTGAAATGATCCTAATCAATCACGTTTTGTAATTACTTATTATAAATTCAATTTTGGAGATTTTTTTATTATATTATTCAAGACTGCGTTTGTTTTTATTCATATTCATGGTCAATAAACATTGTTAATTGGCATGGTAAGTGATTAAAAGAGACCTAGATAACTCACATCAAAATTAATGAGGCGAAAGTGACCGATATTTATTTCAATATCAAAGTTTTTAATTTTGAGCAAATCTTGTCTCCATATATGCATACTCAAAACTTCTTGTTAATACGATAGCAAATAATGCAAAATGACCTTGATGGTTCTTACTACATTTTTGCGAAGGTCGGAAAGAAATACAATTTTCTTGAACGTATTTCACAACCTTTAAGCAACCGAACTATTGAACTGGATACAGCTTCAATGTTTTTAGCGTTGATAGGCTCTACTATTAATGAGTGCATGACAGCTGAATCAAAAAAAAATTATTCTAATTGGATACGAGCTAACTGTACTGAAACTTATTATCTGCCAGACGATGTGTTCAATTTCTTACCGCGTATTTGTTGCAATCAACTTAAGAAATTTGACAATTGAATTAATGGACGCTTCAAAGTAGAGTAGAGTGGAACGGAGGTGGTTTGCTTGAACAATAAAACAAAAAAAACGTATTAGGCCTATAATGAGCATGACAATACAATAAAAATGGTTCTAAAAGGTTTCAATAGAATCCCTTCGAAAACCACAAACAAGTATTTGAAACAAAAAACTACTTGAAGGAGTTTATTGTGGAATTTTGACTTGGTCAAAAACAACTCAAAACTTCCGAACAAATGAAAAGTTCAATTATTTTTTTTACTGAATGCGCCGGGTTCTTGATGAACGAATTTCTACGAAGCTGTTAAAATTGTAAGAAAACATATTAGCTTTTATGCTAGCATGCTTTCTTTACAACACTTTATCAACTGGATTGTAAATAATTTTTGAATGTGTTTTATATTTTAAAAAGTAGTACCGAAAAAATGATTGCTGAATTTCAAAACCCTTAAAATTTTAATGATTTAGTGTACATTTACTAGCTACAGATTTTTCTATCTACTGTGATTTTTTGCAGATCTGCTAATATGAAAGTTGAATACCGTTATACAGTTATCAATTATTAAACACTTTCATGAATTGACAAAGTTAATAACAAAAGAACTACTGATAATAATGGATATTGAAAATTGAATTTATTGGATTTTAAGTAGATTTATTTTTGAATTTAAATAGATTTTTTTACCAATTCAAAATTGCGTCACTCTGCGTAATATGCATTGCACAAGGATTCCGATAGGCAATCAATTTTTTTCTTCAAGTGTTGGAACCACTGGATAGTCTGAACACTACCCTGAATCATTGAAAATCTCAATTGGAAAATTTTTTACTTCGGATTTCATTGGCCATGCAATCTTCCACATTAGAATTCTTACGGCTCATTCTGAACGTTGCTTTTCAAAGGACTTCAAATTTCAAATTTTTCGACTGGTTTTTTAGCTGACACCAGAACACTCAGAAAAAATTTAGAATGATCAGAAAATTTTTCGACCAATTGAATTACCAGAACAAGACAGAAAAAAAAGATTTTCGATGATCAAAACAGAAAGGATGTGTTTAAGTGTCTTGTCATGTGCACTATCAGCACATACATAACAGTGTAATTGGACCTAAAAGGTTTTAAGCCGATTGCGAAAGAAAGAAACATATGTTGGTTAAATAGTTTCTTCTACCAAATTGAGCCAAACGACTTAAGTGGGTACATGCATTTGTACCAGTTTCATGCAAATACGAGTTTGCGATACAAAATCTGCATGAATGTTTAATAACGATAAATAAAGTTTGCTTCGGCTCGAATCTGTATCATGCTCACCCCCCCCCCCCCCCCCCCCCTAGGTGTTTGGGTGCCTAAACTACTACTACTTCCCTAACTCATAAATTTTCAGAGTTCATGCTGTGAAAAGTGAAATTCCATCTTTGATTCATGAATGATTTATGTCTGATTCAGACCTGAAAATTAAGCGCTATTCATTGATGAAATAGCCTTGATCATAGACTGAAACATAGATGTTAATGGCTGCAATATCTCTAAACCCTTTGGTGATAAACGTTTGTCAACCCAACCCGGTAACAGAAAAACTACAGAAAATAAAAAAAATAGCATCTGATTTGCAACAATAGTTTATTTACTATTGAATTTGATGGGTTTTATTCAACTTGCAATTCACTCTGTCATTTGCAAATCTCAAACGAATCTTCGCTCTTTGTATTTCTACTAACCCGATTGAGGAAAATAAATTGAGAGAAATAAAGTAAAAGTTATAGGAAATTTTTTAAGGATTGGTTGCTCCAAAGCTTTTCTAAATCTTTTTGATATAGATGCAGGATGTCGTTTGATTTCAAAACATTTTGAACGTGATCTTATTATTAACTGCTTGAAAACAATCAAAAAAATGTATCAAAGTCCGAATCTTGCATTAGTGCATAGATTTCTTCGCTTCAAAATTTACCTTCAATTTGAAAGCTTCTTTGCTTCTGCAAAGTATCCTGGACGATTTTGAACACAATTATTTCCTTCTCTCGACGATACAGTTCTCCGTTTATCGGACAAAAGACTGAAGTGGGAATTGCTCTCCTAGGAAACAATTCAGTCGTCGCTGTTCCTCTGCGAAGATCTCTCAATTTCAAATTTCCAAGTCTTCGGAAGGATTCTTGAGCGCCCACCTTTTAATTGAAGCAAGTTTTGAGCAATAAAAATTCAATTGCATGTTAAAATTCCTCCCAAAAGTGATATGAATTGGTTGAGCTAATTCATAAAGCGTGTTTCGAGGCCGTATAGTCATTTTAAAACTAGATTGAGTTAAAAAAAAAAACTATTAATATTTGAAAATTAATAAGTTTGGCCATTCTATGAATCATGTATCGTAGAAACTAACCATGTATTCGGCCATAATGAATACTTTGGTTAGTTTGGCTTCATAGCAGAATAAATGATTACTTAAGTTTGCGCACAATTTCTTAAGTTTGCACACTTAACTTGAATACTTAAGTTTGCACACTTCATACAGGTCATTGTTAGGTTGATGTTTTTCTGAACAACTCTGAATTTTTCTTCAGTTTTTGACTCGCGCAACACTTTTAGTAGTTGTCTTTTTTCCATCTAGTCATGACTTTTTTGAATTGTATCTTTTCTGTCGCCGATGCGAGTGACTTTTGTAGTGATCAAGGTCAAGGTTAGAGAGAATGTTAGTATTGCGTATCGCCAGCGGCGAAAGTGGCCTAGAGAATTTAAAACGTTATCTTTTCTCAATTGTTTTGTTAAAGGTTACAAAAACTTCCACATGGCGCAGCCAGCAACCGAATCTAGCTACCGTGGGCTGGATGTATTTTAGCATGGCCCTTCTCAGGAACCGCCGGTCACATAGGAAACCTGGCTCAAAAATTCTAGTTGGTGGTCATTTCCAAAGAGAAGATTGATATTGAGGATTTACTAGAAGTCACCACCGCAATGGAAAATGTGTCTGACATTAGAAGAACCGGCAGGTACCGAAGAATCCCAGGTGCGAGCGGACAGAGAAGCTCGCAATGCAGATGCGATACGAGTCTGAAGAGAGTAAGAAACTCGCCGATCGGATGAAGAGAAACGGCTGTTTCGCGGAAGCACGACAGGAGAGGCAGATAAACGCGTGACGTCGAAAATGTTCTTATCGCTGGGGAAGCAGGGGCAACGATACTTCTTTCAGAAATAACCAAAAAGTGAAATAATAGATTTTAACTTTGCCGACTTATGGAAACTGGCAACGGATGCGGTCTATCGAGAACGGAACGTTACGAACCGTAGGTTTATCCTGTTCGGTCGTAAACAACAAGATAATGAAGGAATGGAGTAGTTTTTTGTAGCACTCAGTGACTTAGCCGAAGGCAGTGACTTTGGCCCAAAGGGTGAGTCGATCGTGAGAGACATATTCATGTTTAACATATCATGACATGTAAGACATATCATGAAGTAGAAGGAAGTAAGAAAACAGCTTTGCATGAACACGATGAGCCCCAACGATGCCCTTCAATTTGCGGTGGTGAATGAAAGAGGAGAGAGAAGTTCGATCGCAAGTTTGACCAGGGGCGACAGAACGCCAACAGAAAGAATCAGCAAGGCTACATTAAAAGAGAACCAGACACATGTCACAATTGCGGAAGTTGGTTGAAGCAGAACCATCGGATAAATTTTCCGGCAAAGAACATCATATGTAATAACTGAAGTGGAAGGTGCTAAGTTTTGCAAGAAAGCTGTGGTAAATCAAATCGACGAGTCCTATGATTTCAATTAATTCGAAAAAACGTGATACATAAATTGAAAAGGCAGATAGAATAGGACGAATTTGGAGTATTTGCCAAACGGACTGTGTGGGACAAGGCAGGAAAAAAATTCACGCCTATTCAAAATTTTTAAGCGTATGAATAGGCGAAAAACAATGGGAAACGGAATTCCAGATTTATTGTGCTAGCCCTGTTTCATTCATTTCTCAGAAGAAGCTTCACGAATTTAAAACTCAGAATCGCTAACTAGCAGTAAAGGCAGTCCCGAATGAGCTCCACAACGTGTTCCAATGCGCAACCGACGACATCATCAAAATCATCGGAGAAATAGTAATCAGAATTAAATCCGAGGGCTGGATTTCCGAGGGTTTGGAATCGTTCATTACCGATGGAGGCCAGATGGACCATCTTGGAAGCAACTTATTGCCATCTTTGGGGATTGAAATTCACCAAAAACGAGTTTAACGAGGTGTGAAGGATTTTACCAAAGGTCCTTAAGACCAGAGGCAAATCGAGTACACGCCCATTCAACGTAAGTACATAGAACGTCTTTTGCGGGATTTTGAAGAATTGTTTGAACGGAAAGGTTTGCTTAAAATTGTGAAGTACGAACGCATTTCCCTCAACCCCTGCAAACTATTTAAGATAAAGGCAAGCGCGAGTTCCGATACATCTTTTACATAAACTGAGGAGACAATGGAGAACTTGTTGAAGGATGGACATATTGTCAAGTTAGGAGAATGCACAGAGGGCTGTTTCATCTTGCCTACGGTCGTTACGGCAAAACGGAATGAATCAGTTAAATTGGCCTTCAACACTAAATTGATCAATAAGCAGATTTATCAAAACCGGTATCAACTGCCAAACATGAATGAGTTTGTTGATAATGTGGCTATGGCTATCAGCGGCGATACGAACGCACCAATATGGTTCTCGAACATTGATTTGAAATACTCATGTTCTCAGATGCAATTGAGTAAAGAAACGAGTCGCTAATGCATTTTTAGTATAGTTGGGGAAGTATAACGAGTTTCAGCGGGTGATGGAGTCCATGTTGGGGCCTTTACTGGGGTTGTATGTTACCTAAATGATATTTTAATTGCAATCAAAGTGCCTGAGGAACGCCATGGGCGTGAAATTAAAACCGTGCTGAACGTAATAAACACTGATAACGCTGCAGTCAAATGGAGCAAAAGTACTTTTTTGTAGCTGGAGTTCCGACTGTGGCTGGAGTTTCTACTGTCCAATAAGGGTACAGAAAAATCGAATCTATCGTTATTATGAAAAAACCAGAAAATATTACTGATATTCGTTCACTGATTTGGTCAACCAACCAATTTGTTCGATTTGTTCCGAACCTCGTGGCCACAACGGAACCAATTTGAAACTTGATGAAGACACATTCAAGGTTTGAATGGAGTTCTAATCCTGGAAAGGTCTTTGCCGAAATGAAAGAAAATCGACCAAAACCTCCATTTCGATGTCGAAAAAAAAATCAGAAGAAAAAGTTATGCTTCAAAAAAAAGATTGGGGGCCGCTTCAGAGCAACATCATACCGACGGCAGGAAACCCTATTCTTATGCCTCGAGGTTCAGAAAAAGCTAAAGTATGGTATTAAGGAGTTAAAACTATAAACGGTTGTTTGGGCGGTGACTCATTACGGACTATACCGCGCTATTATCTTGCTTTTCAGAAGAGAAGAATTCTGAAACAAGACAAACAAGCTAAGTTCGTTGGCTCAATCATTTGTTGCTTTTTTGATTTTGAAATAAAGCATATCCCTGGAAAAAATATGAGACTCGTTGACTATTTATCCAGGCACCCCGTTGGGGACGCTCCACTAGTGTCGGAATTGAAGAATAATTTGTTGTAGTGCCAATTAAGAGTATTAATAGGCTTTTACAACCATAGGTTGTGAGTAACATTTGAACGCGGAACGGAAATAATGACGTTATGAGTAAAACGGAACGAAAATTAAAACATCGGATGGATTGAGCAGCGAAGATACCAATCGACGTGTTTAAGAATTTTCATTTGATCAAGGTATGTGCTTCAAATCACTCGCGAACAGATCAGTGCTCAAATTGTAAGCTACTGAATCCACTACCGATGATCAGTTTTATGTATCGAATACACAGAGGGGCAGGAGAACCAAAAATCCAAAACCCTACCGTCGATCAATGTTCAAAGTACAACGTCGAATAGGCAGCTGACGGCTTATTTTAACGTTATCCCATCGGCTATGTATCTTAGCATCTGATTTGAATGAAAAGAGTTCTTTGATGCAGAATTTTTTGCGATACTACTAAAAGCCGATGAAGTCCTTTTTTGCAGTGTTGAATCGTTACTCGAGAAAAATTATGACCAAATTCGAAACTTGGTTTCTTATTTGAATCATTATCTCGACAAGTTCCAAATGTCACATGGAACTTTCTTCCTTGAGGACCGGTTAGTTATGCACCTCAGCTTAGGGCACCGGTGTTGACGCGGTTGCACCGGGGACAAACGGGAAAATTCATGATGCGAGATGTCGCCAACAACTATTTTTGGTGGCCACATATGAATCGGCAAATCCAACTCAACGCAGCCAATTGTAATGAGTGTGTAAAGTCCGGTAAGAAATTGAAGCCATAAATTCCGGATGGGGATCTTACTAAATTGAACCTCTTAGAATAAACCAATCAAGAGCTGCAGTTGGAATTTTGAGCCCACTACCGCCGGTATGGGGTGCTAAAAAATATTTGCTCGTTTGCATAGATACATCTTTGAATTATCTATGGATTCACCATAAGAACTACTGGTACCCTAATTAGGGATTTTCTTGAAAATTATATATTGCACTACATGCGATTCTAAGAGCCATTCGTACGGACCAGGGGTCGGTTTTCCTTGCGAAATCAAAACGTGAATATTGTGCCACTAATAATAATTCTTTAAGTTTTGCCCCGGTAGGGCAGCATCGCGCCACGGGGTTTATGGGACGATGCATACACAATCTGCGAGATTGTCCTATGGCATTCTCGTTTAAAAAGCCGCGGCCGGCGTTCAAAACAGCACTAAAAGAGATTTTGCTCACAATTCGAACAACACATCTTCAATCAATGGGATGTTCGCCATTTGAGGTGCATTTTGCTCGTAAACCAAAAACTGTTTGGATACGGCCGCTATGAGTGCTTCATCGAGTAACTTATTATGGAAAAACGTTTTGTATTCTCATGATCGCAACACAACGATGCTTCTGGCACGAGTTATGCAGGAATACACAAGCCCACATGAAGACACTGCCATGGGCATGTACAATCGAGTAGGGCATCCGCTGCCGGAATCATCGCCATTTTCGAGTGGCCAACCGAACAGTTCCACGAATAAAGTTTTCAGACAGAAAGGTTATCATGTTCTTAGGAAAAATCAGGATCAGTTGAAATTGCTGCAATTTGTTGAATTTTCAAAGGAGAGAGTGAGAGGGGAATCAGCTATAGTGTAACGTTGCATTCGGTAAGAGTGGTATATAAATCTGATTTTTCGATCAGTATAGGTGGCTTTTACTCAGAGACACTAGCGACGCTGGATAAATTTTTTTCGCCACGGCCAACAGATCCCCCCGAGCCGAACTACCCGCAAAAGCAACACCACGACGACCGTTGGGCGATGTTACGGGCACAGCGAACAACCCCATCTGGATTGATAGTTCATCCGACTGTTTGATGACTACGGATAACCCGACGGCTAACCGCGATTTCATCAGGGTGTTGCCGAAGGTTAGTGCCGACGAATCACCGCAGGCAACAGAAGACAAGAAAAAGACAATCCCGCGATACCAGAGAAAAACGATACCAGAGAAAAACAATACCAGAGGGGTAAGTCAAAGCGGATCATGTTATCATCATTGGACGAGGGGGAGGATGCGCAAAAAACGACAACGCATGGCTCAACCAATCTGGACCCACAGGAGGGAGTTGTCTAAAGCGAAGAGGAAGGCGAGTTGACAACGACTCCGGAAGCGAATAAAACAGAGACCGGTGTGACGGGACATACACCGGATAACCCTAAGCAGGAGGGGCCATGTACGAGTAGCCCATTGGTTCAGACCCCTAAACTGGTCCTGCGGCATAACACGAGACCACTCAGGGATCGACGACCACCAAAAATCTTGGGAGAGCGTTTCTTCACCAGTGCGGTCACAACTGAAACGCAAGAAATAATTGTGGTGACAGCTAAAGACACCTCGGATGAAGACCTTATTGTGCTGCCACAAGCAGAGTCAAGCACTTCTGGCGTCAAGACTGTCAGTCGACCACGACGGAGAGCCCAGGTGGAGGAGCGTGTACCACCTAAGAAGTGCCCATCAGCCAGAAAAAAATCCCAGCCCAAATAAAAACGTAATACGGAGGGTTCCTGTTTCAATATCGAAATGTGTCGTTTCTATTGGGGCGACGATTATGTTCAAAACAATATTTCCGGTCAAAGCGAAAATGTGTCGGGGCACTTCGTGGATGTGCTCGACAAATTGCGTCGAATTGTCAAGCACTCAAACGGTTCACCGTCGATGGTCGACGCCTATGGCAACAACGTGGATGGAACTTTCATCCCAGAATTATATCAGGGTTTGGAGGCCCGAACTCGAAACAGTCGGGAGAATCCGGCGCTGGGAAAGCTGGTCGACGTTATCCAAGCGGTGATACAGCGGACGAGGGAGGCTCTCGATAAAGTAAGCCCCGCACTATTGACAAACTAGCGGCCGAATCGGGAGTAGCAGTAGTTGCGTCACGCCGAATTAGCAGTCACGGCACTAGTCGTCCTTCAAAAGCTAGTCTTGTAGAAGATACACAGGGAGATCAACCGTCAGTTTTTTAGCCGTTGGAGAACATTACCTTGGGACCAGTAGTAGGACAAGGGAATCGACGGTAATTAGTCAGCCGGCTATACAGCCGGCAATCGGTATAGACAGTTCAACACCATGCGACTTGGGCGCCGACCAGATTGAAACTGGGGACAGTGATCAGATGATTTCGGGACAAGCTGACATCAGTGGAGATTCTAGCAGCGCAAGGTTCACCGATGACTTGGACAAAGCGGAGGAAATATCGGCTGTCAGCATGACTGAGGAGGACCAGAAGCAGATTTTGGAGGAGCTGGAGAACCTTTGAATTATAGAAGATTATTGTTGTCGAATCATACTACCACCGGAGGGCCGACCCGAGAGGGGAAAGGGTCGAGTGGAGTTTGAAACTTTAAGTGTTATTTCATTAAACTGTAAGCTGATTATGGACTGATTATACTTGGTGCAGCAACTTATTAGATTTTACGATGTTCTTGATTTAGTCGAAGGGGAGTGTAGTGGAGACTGTAAACTAGTTTCTGATCAAGGTCAACGTTATAGAGAATGTTGATATGTCGTGTCCTAGAGAAACTAAAACGTTATCTTTTCTCAGTCGTTTTGTTAAACACAGCTTATTTCTATACGGAGGTTAGAACCCGAGTCGAGATTTTTCACCTAATTTGAAGCAAGATTTGAGCGGTTTGAGCGGTTTTTTTAGACAATTACGCTCAAAATCTTGCTTCAAAATGAGCGGTTTGAGCGGTTTTTGAACGGTTTATCTAAAAAAAAACCGCTCAAAAACCGCGCAAGATTTGAACGGTTTTGAGCGGTTTATCTAAAAAAACCGCGCAAGATTTAATAATAAAGAGTCGCCCACTGAGGGATTCGAACCCGCAATCTTCTGGAAGTTTAATATTCGCTGTATTTGTTCTACTGACAAAGTAATCAAAACTGCTTGTAGCTGCTTGTACATTCTGGTTAAAAGGCAGCAATTTGATTTTCTCCGGCCCACGTTACGACGAGAACACTACAATGAAGAGTTCAGGTCCACGTTACGACGCGAACACTACAATGTCATGGCCAACTTCCAAAAGATACCAAGATTAGGGTTTATATGTTCTCACTCTATGTTCTCACTCAGTTACATTTTGGGGGTACGTTGGGGGGAGGGAGTACGTTGGCGGGGGGGGGGGGGGGGGTACGTTGGTGGGGGTGGGAGATTTGTTGGATGTTGGATACGTTGAGGGGGTACGTCGGGAAGACCGCTCAAAAACCGCTCAAAAACCGCTGAAATCTTGCTTGAAAAACCGTTCAAAAATCACCGTAAGAAATGAGCGGTTTTTGAGCGGTTTTTTAAGCAAGATTTGAGCGGTTTGAGCGGTTTTTGCAAAAAAACCGCCCAAACCGCCCAAACCGCTCAAACCGCTCAAATCTTGCTGGAAAACCGCTCAAACCGCTCAAATCTTGAGCGGTTTTTGAGCGGGATCTCGACCCGGGAAAGAAATACTTCCACAATTTCTTTCTTGATTATTCAGTCAAAACTTGCTTCTAAAGTTAGGTCACGCGCTGTTTCAGCCCGTATCCTAGACGGATGAGAATCAACACTATCTCGCTCTGAAACATTTAGACTTCTGCATATTTCACTTATATCATTATTCAGTGAACTTAACTGTCGGGAACTACTGCCCGTAGCTTGCTCTTCACGGAAAGTGTCCATCGCTAAGTCCAAACAATCAGTAACTTCCTTGAACGCCTCCGTGACAGAAATAGCATTCTGTTCAGCCCGTTTAACGATCTCTCTTTGTTTTTTCAGCTCTTCGAAAGTATTTTGCCTGAACAAATCCAATTCCTGAACACTTTGTGCTTCTGGCAGATCCGTTTTCGAAAGCACAAGTTTGTCTATTTTTTCAAGTGTCGACAAAACATCTTCATTGGCGTTGACAGATTTATCAACTAAGGCTCTGAACTTTGTTTGATATTCTTCAATTTTTCCCCATTTACAAAATATATTCTGAGCTAATTCGTCCATAACAATTTCAAGCGGGACAATTTGATGCCCAATATGATCTTTACTCCAACAGAGTTGACAAACTGCTGCCGAACACTCAATGTTTTTGCAAAACATTATGAGTGGCTTTTTGTGGAGTGCACATAATGCATTTTCAGGTGTTTGAATCTCTTGCACTTCCGCGTGATTTCGATTCGCTTTTGTCGCCTGAAACAAAAAAACTCATATTTTCCCCAAGCTACCCTCCCTCAATTATAATAGAATCAAAATGTGTGGAGGGCTAGAGTTTTATTACTAGGCTACAATGGGAAAGCTACTAAGAGAAAACTACAAGGGGAAAGACAAAAGCCTAAAATTTTATCTCAAAATTCAACGATAGACTGTATGTGCGCGTCAATCTCCACACTTCGTGATAAAATCGGTTTTCAAACACTTTAATTAATGAGTATTTTCTCGGCAAAATAACTCCGGAAGTTTGAAAATATAACGATAATTTATAATTTTCAACAAGCTTTATCATCGGTAACATCGGCCACAATAAACTGCATAACTCAAAGCAAGCTGCAAAAATGGCCAGTATTTGTCCTTGAGACAAATTGCTCTTTTTAAAGGTCAGCCATAACCAAGGCTGAACCAAATTAGAGCGAAAAGACGGTTAAAAATGGGTTTTGGGGGGGACCGAACCTGGTTACGGGGCATCCCATCAAGTTCGGTGCACATTCGAGTTCTAGAAAGGAAATGACCTAGTCGGGATTCGAACCGGCGCCGAACCCGCCGGGACGCACCATGTATACGCTTGGCTACTGTCCCTGTATGTATTTACTTTTATATGCATTTATACTCTCGCACATTTACATTTGCGCTGCAACATCCTCCGCCCCTAAAGACGGAAGAACAGGTGCGAGTTTTACGGTCGGTCGTGTCAGCTCGCTCGTAACAGTTTTGATATCGGCGGATCGCGCGCATCCGTCTTTGCCGTAGTGTAGTTTAGCAATACGGGCGAGTGGGTAATGCCCACGTGGGCTGTCGGGTTCGACTACCCAAACCAAGTCGCCGGTTTTCAGTGTGACATCCGAATCATTATGCCACTTTGCTCTCTTGTTGAGAGATGGTACATATTCACGCAGCCAGCGTGACCAAACTGCGTTAGCGTACGATTGTGCTCTGGCGTAACGCTTTTTATGATCAAAGTTATCTTCGAAACTTAACGACGGGAAGCTAGCTGCGCTGTGACCGAGAATGAAGTGATTCGGGGTGAGTGCCTCTAGGTCGTGCGGATCGGAACTGACCGGAGTGATCGGTCTTGCGTTAAGTAATTGTTCAACTAGGCAGAGCGTTGTTCCTAGAACTTCCTCAGTTAATCTCCTGCTGCCTAATATGTCGTACAACACTCGCTTAACACTTCTCACTAACCGCTCCCAGGCGCCGCCGTGATGAGGGGCACTGGGCGGGTTAAACTTCCACTTAACGCCTTTGTGGACGAAAACGGCCGGGCGACTTTGTTCCAATTTTGGACACAGGATAGGAGCTCCTTTTGAGCACCAACAAAATTCGTGCCATTGTCAGAAAGAATGGTTTTGGGGGTACCTCGCCTTGCAATAAATCGCTCTACGCCCATGACGCAGGAACTAGTATCGAGAGATGGAACCAACTCGATGTGAACTGCTCGAGTCGTGAGGCAGGTAAATAGGAAATCCCATCTCTTTTCGGTACTTCGGCGTATTGGCACTTGAAACGGGCCAAAGTAATCAACACCTGTGTTGGAGAAAGGAGGCTGCTTGTAACCCAGTCTTTCAATCGGTAGGTCAGACATAATGGGCACAACTGTTTTTGCTTTGCGCTTACGGCATGTTATGCAAGTATTTTCGATGTTCCCAAGTAACCAGCGCAACTTCAGAACAATGTATTTCAACTGAACTACAGCACGCATGTAATCCAACCCCTGATGTGCATGTTGAAAGTGCATATGCCTAATCAACATATGAGCAACTCGGTGTCGACCATCCAGTATTATTGGATGTTTGCTATCAAAGTCGGTATCAACAAGACGGCTGATACGTCCAGTTGAACGCAGGATGCCAGCTGGGCCGATGAACGGAGAATATTTAGCAATCCGACTTTTCTTTGTTATCAGTTTATCGGACTGAAGTATTTTCACTTCGGCAGGAAATGATTCGGACTGAGCGAGATAAATGAGCTTCTGCTCGGCAATATCTAACTCGGACGGGTCGGTTATTTCCAGCGTTTTTGTACGGAAGTGTTTATGCGATGGTAGCACACGAAGCATAAATGCTAAAACACGTTTGTACTTTACAATTGAGCTGAATTTATCCCAATTTTTAAACAGACGGATCGACGGCACTTTCTCAGATGAAGCATCAACAACAAACGTAGATGCAGTCTCAAGGCATGTATCAATGTCACAGAGTGGGCCTTTTAATTGGATCTTTTTGATGACATCAGTGTTCGGCTTGAATGGCCAATCACATGTCCTCAATATACTAGGGCCTCTAACCCAGCTGCTATCCTTGAGGGCTTCGGAAGAAATCCCTCGTGTGCCGGTATCAGCTGGGTTATCACCACTGAGTACATGATTCCATTGATCAATGGTGGTGGACTCCAAGATTTCACCAGTGCGGTTTCCAACAAACACAGGAAGTTTGTTGCACGAGTTAAGCCACTGGAGAACGGTGGTAGAATCAGTCCACATGAATACATTGCTTACTTTAAAAGTAAGCGCTTTCAAAATCTCTTCTTTGAGTCGAGTCGCAAGCAGAGCAGCCTGAAGCTCTAACTTGGGAATGGAGAGCATCTTCATAGGCGCTACACGGGCTTTCCCAAATACAAAAGCTAACTCAGTCTTTTGCAATTTAGCAAGTCGGGCTCGGAGAAACGATACGGCGCAAAAAACGTCCTGCGAACTATCACCGAACGTGTGAAGTTCACAGCGGTCGAACGGTTCGGTAAAGTAGCTACGAGGTATCGTCAGAGTACCTAATAGTGGAAGTCCTGAGTGCCAATCTAGAAATTGTTGTTTAATTTCCTCTGGGAGATCATCATCCCACTTTTGACCACTGATTCTCCATATGTCTTTTAGTAAAAGGCGCGCTTTCACAGTATATGGAGCTACCAGTCCTATTGGATCAAAAACTGAGGAAACAAAACTCAACACGGTGCGTTGAGTAATTGCTTCATCTAGTGGTCGATCAACACCTCTACTTACTACTAGGGTATCTTTTACATGATCCCACCTGAGACCAAGAACATGCGACGATTGGTCTGGACTCTTACAAATATCCTTAACTGACGGGTTGGACTCACGGTTGTCCGGATTAAGAGTGGTTGTAACTTCGGGTACATTGCTAACAAACTTTGTCAGGTTAAACCCACCTAATTTGAGCATTGCGACTAAGTCTTTACTTAGGCTAAGAGCGTCAGCGGTATTTTCGAACGAGTCAAGATAGTCGTCCATGTAAAACTTCTGGACAACGGCTGAAGCGGCTTCGGGGTATTCAGTTTGATTATCAGAAGCAGTTTTTTGTAGCGCGAAATTCGCACAAGTTGGCGAATCACGAGCGCCAAAAATATGACGGGTGTATTGGTGAACCACCACACTTGAAGTGGGGTCCTTCCGCCACAAAAAACGGAGAGACGGTTGATCTCGCGCAAGTACTCCAACTTGTAAGAACATACCTTCTATGTCCGCTGAGACGGCGTACTTGTGTTGACGGAACCTCAACAGTACAAAAATTAGATTTTGAAGGAGATCCGGGCCAACCAAGAGAGATCTATTTAAGGAAGTGCCATGAAATTTGGATGCTCCATTGAGCACACGGCGCACCTTGCCGGGTTTGTTCGGGTTCAAAACCGGATGGTGTGGAAGATACCACTCACGTTCGGCTCGTGAGCTGGGATCGTGCGGGTTGACGGTTATGACATATCCTTTACTTATATCTTCTCTGATTGTTTCGGTATACTTCTCGCGAAGTAACGGATCTTTATCTAATCTTTTCTCTAACGACTTTAATTGGGCTAATGAAGAATAATAATTGTTAGGCAAGCTAACATCATTATCACTCCACAGCATCGGTACAGTGTAACGCTCACCATCGTGAACGGTTTCAGTTTTTAGGATCGACAAAGCACGCTTGTCTGCGGCGGAACGGGCATCTACTTGCTTGAACGCACCATACGACTCTAACTCATACCAAGTTTTGATTTGGTCGGTCAGAGAAGTATCGTCCGTAACGCAGTTAAAGGAAGAAGAATTTAAGGACGAACGATCAGGAGACGGACCACTAATGACCCAACCTATCGGAAGTCGGACGGCGCACGGTGAGTCAAGTTCATCTCCGAAGACATGTTCGAGGGGTCTTATCGCATGATAGAAGTCCTGTCCTATAACTATCTCAATATCTTTGTAATTATACGCAGTCGTCTTTAACGGGGCTAGTTGCGGGTATTTGACCTGCAATTCGGAAACGTTTATAACATCGGGTCCTATATACATGTTGTGCTTAACGAAAGCGACAAACGAAAACGAAAATTCACTTTTATTGGGCTTTGCGGAAACTTTCAAGTGAACTCGCTGAGTTTTAGATACCTTGGCTGAGTTAAAACCATCGGTCGTAACATTTACGGGCGTGCCAACTAATTTCAGACGTTCAACGAGTGCCGCGGAAACCCAAGAATGAGTGGAACCGGTGTCACAAAGTGCTAGTGCATTCGAATTTTCCGAACCAGAGGACACATCTACCAACGCAACGGGAAGAATACCTTTTGCAGTTCCCTCACAAGGTTTAACACAAGCTGCGTTATTTGCAGAAGTAGTGTTTGTTTTAGTTTGAGTCGATGGTGATCGGTCGGCCTCTTTGGGCGGGAAAACTTTCTCGGCTCCATGAAGAAGCACATTGTGAGTGCTCTCACAGTCCTGTTTTGGGCATTTTCTTGCTTTTTGGCACTTTCGGAAGGTATGGTTGCCTTGTAAACAAGAAAAACAGAGCTTTTGTTCTGCTACATATTTAGCCCTTTGTGTTGCGTTTTTCTCTTTGAACACGGAACAGTTCCAGAGTGCATGCTGCCCTTTGCATAGCGAGCATGGAGGAAACCTTGTCTTTTCTCTACTTTTCTCATCCTTAGAACTTACCTTAGTGTTACCTGCAAGCACTTTTGTAACTACTTTTTGTTTAACTGGTTCTTCAGACTTA